CAGTGTTGCTAAATAATAACAAATACTCTAAATTACTATTTGATCATTTTTTTGCAGAAAACTGAAAATGAAAGTACCAAAGTTTGATGGAGCATTTGAAATTTGTATTAGTAATTACTGCATTGGAATGTTTAAGGCAGTGAGTTACTTTAGTGGTCCTCGTATAAATTACGTATTAGAATAGCTTAATTTTTGGTTTTTAGGCTGATTGTACATTTTAAAGTGCGTATTTTACAATACTTGGTTTGTTCTGTTTAAGAGTACCATTTAATCACACAAGCATAATTTATACTATCAAACATTTAAACATTGTATTATCCGTATGTGTAATATTTGTGATTGGATTTAAAATATGTTAATAAATATTGACTACATGACGTATTAGTCTAGGTTGAACCTTTTTGTTCTGTAACTAAACTATAGTGTGAAATCATCGTATGACTTATGCCTAAAGAAAAAACTTTCGTAATATGTTTTGATAATTGCTTGTTTTTCTTTAATTACAGATTTTGAATGAATGTATGTTTCAGAAAAACGATGTGTCGATTTGGTCTTGGGTGATTTTGGTAGTTCTGATAATAATAACAGCCGTTCTGCTGATAATCCTGCTGTTACCGGAAAGAGCAGAAGAAATCAAGAATTTTTTTGTATCTAACGTCCGTAAAGATAATTGTGATGGTAGCAGTGTTCCAGGAAAAGAAACTAAAAATATACAACCGAATCAAGATATCAGCGTAAATGATAGACCTAATGACAGTAAAGAGGGTAATAATAATAATAACGATATGCAAAACTCAACAGATAATATGATAGGTAAATATTCTCACGAAGAGGTAAATGCAGATGACATGAAGACAGAAGAAACCGCGTCAATCATCAAAGAAGAGGACAAAGAACAAGTTTTGAAGTCTGAATCACTCACAACAAATGAACAAAAACCAAAAAGATCTGAAGATAAAGTTACTAAAAAAAACCCCAACAGGTCTCCCTTCAACGATAACTATATGTACTCTTTTAGTGACATAAAAAATATGACACTGAAGTCTAAAAAACTACCAACTAACTCAAGGATATCAGAATCCAGAGAAACGCCACTTAACAAGGAGGAAACAATTGAAAACGATTTCAAAGAAACCTCGTTAGCTCCAAAAAGAAAATATTCTCAAAATGAAAGAGGAATTAGAGAACCAATGGCAATAAATACAAAAACTCAATCTACTGACTTAAGAAAATCAGAGACAGTGGAAAAGTCAAACTTAGAGGTTAGCGAAAATGCAAAATTGCTGAATGATCTAAAGGAACCCTCATCCATTCCTAAAGAAGAAAGTTCTCACAACATAAGGGAAATTAAAGAACCAATGGCAAGAATTACGAAAACGCAATCAAATGACTTGAGAAAATCAGAGACAATGGAAAAGTTAAACTTAGAGGTTAGCGAAAATGCAAAATTGCTGAATGATCTAAAGGAAACCTCATCCATTCCTAAAGAAGAAAGTTCTCAAATCATAAGGGAAATTAAAGAACCAATGGCAAGAATTACGAAAACGCAATCAAATGACTTGAGAAAATCAGATACGTCAAACCTAAATGTTAGCAGGAATACAAATTTGCAGAATGGCCTATTGAAAACCTCGTCAATTCCTAAAAGAGAAAGTACTCAAAGTAGAAGAGAAACTGAGGAACCAATGACAGGGTTGGCAAAAATGCAATCAACTGAGATGAGAAAATCAGAAACAAGAGAATTATCTAACTTAAAGGCTTCTGAAGATGTAAACTTACAAAATGATGGTAAAGAAACTTCATTATCAACTGAAAAGAAACACTCTGAAAATAAAAAAGCTGCTGAAGAGCCGGTGACAAGGATCACTCCTTTTGGTTGGGTGACGGACAACATTAATGAAGAAAGGTCGAGCGATAGTGATATTGATGCAAAATAATGCAACAATTTTAAGAACTGCTGATAGTTGTATTCGTTAAATTTCCCATTATAATTACACTCATCGATAATAGTTTTCATACATTTGGAGAACATCTTGCATTTTTACTTAAAACATAATTTACGGATTCAGAGAGATTGAGGATTAGGCATTTAAGTGCTGAAACTTGGGAGAATAGGACGTTATTTTAGCTATTTTCTTTGGGTCCACTTAAAAAAGCGATAAGATATTTTGGTCTATGAATTTTAGTTACCTTTACATGACATCATCGTTAGATAACAGAAGTTTAAGTATCAATAAGTTTATTATATGATTATGGTTGATACAGTCTCTGTTCGGAATTTATATTATTCATACGCAATCTATATGAATCCAGACTTCGTTCATATCTTGTTCGGACCCACGATTATCAAGTTCAATTTAGTTTTAAATTAAATGGTTGGAGTGAAACCATTTTTAATGCAATTCCGAAGAACCAATATTGCCTCTTTTGCATACTGACCCCGTTTCAAGGCACGGATATAGCTGCTAGTTTATTATACTGTATAATTGGTATTTCCCCTACTCTATTTGTCTATATACATTGATCCCCTTTTTAAACAGTCCACAATATCGAAGTTTACCTCCCACAGTCAATGCCAATAAACTTTCAATTGTCTTAATGAAGTTAAAAATATGTTTTTATTTAATGATAAAAGTGAAAAGCAGTCAAATCATTCAAGGCCATGTATTTATAAACCCGACTTTAAGCGGAACCGAGCCCAGTTCATTACCATTAAAAGGTTATTTCCTTAGGTATCTAAATCCAAAGGGGATAAGAAAGATTATGTCTATCAGTTGATAAAGATTTGCATGAAAGATTAATTAAACTCCGTTTTCATTTTAATGTGACTCAAACAGCAGCAAGCTTGCAATTATTCAGTTTACATCTATGAATAATAAATATTTTATGTTTATCTTTGACCGTTATATCAGATTACCTTGTTACCATGGTTTAAAAGTATGAATAAGCTTTACAAAATCTAAATTTCTGTATCCGCACATAACAAATGGCCAGAACTGAAGGTTTAAAATAATTTAAGATTATAAAATAAAACGCAATTTGACAAACAATATACTAATGGAATCACCTACTACATTCATTTGCCAACTTGAGGTATAACTATTTAAAAGAAATATTTTAAGATTCTTTAAATGTTAAACAATGTCAATAAATCTCTTTCCATTCATCATTGCATTACCATATCATAATGTATCTTTGTTTTATCTATTTATATTTAAAAAGTTAAAATAACATAATATACAGGTTTCATAAAACATATTTTTTTTTTACTGCTACAGGCACTTCCTGAAGAAAGTGCTGAATTTTGCATGGGTGGCGTTTGCTGTGGCATTTACAAAAGACAGGTATTCTAATTATTACATACATAATTTACTAAGTAGTGTATTTCAATACGTTTAAAAGGTCGAGGGATCAGACACTTTGTCCGTATTTAATCTTTTTTTTATTTATCCAGTTTCGTTCTTTAAGCTCTCAGAACTTTAACAAAGCAAAGCTAAAAAACGTTAAAAAAACCTTCAAATTCAAATGTTTCTGCATCAACTTTGAGAATGATCGATTCTATATTCAGTTGGATTTGTAATTAGGCATATGTTAAACATGATCGTTTCCTATCTAAATATTGATAAATTACACATACATTGACAACCAGAGAGCAATAATGATGGTATGACCATTCAACTGGTTTTGTTATGCCATGTATTCACTACATGTTCTGTTTATTAACTTTATAAGTTGTTTTATTTCAGTATACTTGTAGTGGTAGTTATTTTATATTTTATTATTATAAAAATATAAAAATTATTAAACCATTTGAAAGTATTTAAATAATTGAAAAAACCTTGAAGGATTGATGAGAATATAATCATAGGATTTTATATAGAAATGTGATATAAAACCACTAGAAACTTCAATACAGTTGTGAGCAGTTGATAAAAATATCGATTAGGAATGCAAATATTGCTGCCAAACACTCTGTTTTAGAAAAAGTGCTTGTCACAGCTTGTAATCCATAAATACACAATGGTGATTGGTTTTATTCATTATATAGATTTCCAAATATCAACCGAGATTTTTTTAGACTTGCAGTCTTGGCATGGCTTTGATGATGTAATAAGTTATAATTCTTATCTCAGATTTCTTCACTTATTGATAAATTATTATTACAAATGTGCACAGTTTTCTGAAAAGGCAGTTGTCAATAGTATCACTGCCACACAATGTGTACGAAACAGATTACTAAATATCATTTGACTAGTGCTAGATGACAATATGTAAAGCTACTTACTACGTACTATTAACTAAAATATTAACAACTATTTTTTTTTTCAGTCAGTCGGACTACTATATTTCTTATGGATATTATTTTTAGTCTTGGTTGTCTCTCCAGCCTTGTATTATGTTTTCATTCACCCACATTCACGAGCGTCAAATAATGAGCAAAGAAATGACATTGGAAATATAAAAAAACTACCCAGGAATGAAAGGATATCTGAAGATATACTGTCAAAGAATCGTAAACAAAATAGCAACGAGAGTGAAAATAAAAGCAGAGTCTCTGGTAGTAACCAAGATAAATCTATGAATCCCACCAAAGATGAAATTCGGCCAAAGAATCATAAAGAGCAAACTAAGAAGAGTTTTGATAGTGTAAGAGAAGAAGAAAAGGAAAGAAGAGAAGAAGAGCGGAGAAGTGTTACAGGAAATTATAAAATTCCTTCTACAGCGGATGCAACTGAAGATCCGACTCAACCTGAATGTGTATCGAATGACTTCTCGACAAAAGCCGCAAATGACCAACGAGTATCAGTCATTTCGTTAAACAATTTAATTAATCCAAAAGATGACAATAAGCCAAAAGGTGAAAATAAGCCAAAGGCGAACGACATGAATTTGATTCAAAATGATAATGTATCTTCCAATGATAATTTATCTTCGAATGACGTTAAAAGTTTACAAAGTGAAAATGGTTTAAGCATAAACTCAGACAAACTCTCTCATAGGCATTCATCGGAAGACAAAGATGACAATTTAAGGGAGGGAATGACCTTAGGAGACAATATTCCAAATGAAAAATTTAATAGAAGTGGAAGTAAAAATAGTTTAACTGTACTCAATAAGTCATCAAATGACGAGTTTAGCTTTGAACCAAATGATACAAGTTCAATTCAACAAGATTTACCTGATGATTTAGAGAGCAAAAACATAACAAAAGGCGGTTTAGACGATGAGTTGGTAGCTGGGCATGTGACTAATGATGGTTTAGACGATGAGTTGGAAGCTGGGCATGTGACTAAAGATGGTTTAGACGATGAGTTGGAAGCTGAGCATGTGACTAAAGAAGGTTTAGACGATGAGTTGGAAGCTGGGCATGTGACTAAAGATGGTTTAGACGATGAGTTGGAAGCTGGGAATGTGACTAAAGAAGGTTTGGACGATGAGTTGGAAGCTGGGCATGTGACTAAAGAAGGTTTAGACGATGAGTTGGAAACTGGGCATGTGTCTAACCAGATCTCGAATGATAATGAATATTCTAGGTTATCGAAGAATGAATCTTCCAAGGAATCTGTTATTGAGAAAAAGGATTATGATCATAATACACCTAATATAGAAAGAAGTAATGATGAAGAATATACAAAGCGAGATTCGAGAGTCAGTAATATTAGTAAAAGGAGATTTTCGTTGAAAAACAAATTTAACTCAAATAAGGAAGATACCGACACTCAAGAACCTGAGAAGGCATCGAGAACAAATAAGAAAAAACTGTCCTTAAAACTGAACTCGTTTGTGAAAACTGATAGCAAAAAAGATTGACGTTAAATGTTAAAGTACAAGGTTTTAAATATTATAAGTTTTAGTAGTGTTTCTTTTTGTTTTCATGTTGTTATATGGTTTTATTAAAATAAATCTAACATCCATTGATCTTTATTGCAACTACAAATTACTGATTTAAACATTCCAAATACCCGTATTGTCTCATATAGTAACGAGAGGTAGCCCCCCGATAGTATAATAGTTTTGAACTGCATAACACCAATACATAGAAAAACTAAATAATTTGTTATATAGATAGTTTCTATAGACAATTTTGTACAGTAAATGTTTCCACGAAAGATCCAAATAAAACTGTTAGTGAAATAAAATGTCAGTGGCATTCAGACATGTTGATTGATGAGAAGTTTGTTTTGTATGCATGGAAGTGACATCTCATGGCTAGCCGTGGATAATGGAAACGAGACTGTTTGGGGATCGCATGATTATAAATGTGTTTTAGATATTGTAGAGATATTGTAATGTCTCTTTAGCATCGAATAAACTATACAGCCATTAATTATGACTATACAAATAATTACTTATCAAAGGTATTAACATTTAAAATAAATTAACAGTAATATACAACAAGATCATCACACTCATCCTTCACTCATATTTGGGTTAAGATATACACCTAGTGGCGTCCCCATCTTAAATAATTGATTAATTGAATACTAACAAAAATTTTTTAAATCCTCATTGTTTGGTTCTAAATCTTTATGAAGTAGTCCAAAGCCACACTTAGTAGCACCATTGACTATTGGAGACTAAAATTGATATTAGATTGTATTGATAGTCAACGTTTGTTTGATAGTCACTGTAGCTGAAAAATATATCCGTGTTCTCTAATTAACCTTCGCGCACTATTTTGCAATAACAAATATATAAATAAATAAAAAATATATTTATATATAATATATTTATATATTTATATATAATATATTTATATATAATATATTTATATATAATATATAAAAAATATATTACCTTTTGTAAGTAGGTATAAGCTAACTTATTTCATTTTACCGAACAATGTATAATTATCTGTCGAACTTTTTATATACTTAAATAATAACATGTCGTAGATAATTCACTTTAATCATTAGATTTCACAAACAATCGTTTGGTTATAATAATAATAATAAACGTTTCAGTAAATGTCGGATGCTAGAACAACAAATTCCGTAAATTGACAAAGAAACAAATTTATTTTCTATGGAAGAACGTTATCATTGCAAAACTACCAAATCTACCTCTTATGTGCTATTTTTATTTAATTTTTTCAAGTATCAACCTACACTTATACGGAAATCAAACTAATTAGATTTTAGATTTTATCATCAAAAATTAAATAATCTAAGATCTTTTTCACTAAAAGAATGAAACAGGTAATTTAAAATAAATACAATAAGTTAATATTGCTTTTTTACTAAGCTTTTTTACATTGTCTAGAAATAGATCTTTCTGCTCATTCTATACAGTTTATAAATGTGAATGGTCTTTCGCTTCAAACAATACATATTTATTACTATTCTAAATACTTTATTTTTAGAATAGTGAAGTAGTGTGGATATATATTCTTGGTTAAATCGTCCCTACTTTGGCATAAGCTTACAGTTGCTTATAACTTTTTTGTTAATTATATTGTATTGATTTAATTATATTCATACAAATCTTCACACAGACTCTTTAATACCATATAAAATGTAAAGAAACTCAACTGTCAGTTGCATCTTGTTTTTGTAACGTATTATATGTTTCTCTTTCTGATGGTAACTGCACGATTATAAATTTCAAGATGCCACCAAATACTCAATTGATATCCTATCTTACATTCATTTTATATTGTCTATTATAACAATACTATTCGGAGTGATCGATGGAGGTTTGTTTTGTATGCATAGAAACACCATATCATATTCTTCTGCCGAAAAGCTCTTTTGTAGTGTTCGCATTATATCGAGAAATACTAGATAAGTTATTATTCTTCGCATGGCTTTTGGTGAACAGTGCTCTTTATTTTTTGAATGTTTTCAAATGATGAGATAGTTTTCTGGATAAAGCACATACAATTCAAAGCGGACTCGAAACCCTCATTTAATGGTATTATCTATGTCTATCTATCTATCTATCTATCTATCTATCAATCTATCTAGCTATACTATTATAAAGAAGAGTAGGTGTCTAGGTGTTTGTCTGTCCGTCTGTGTGTGTGTTTGTATGAGATAAACTTAAAAACTACTGAACCGACTGGACTCAAATTGGACAACAATAAAGATACAACACCGAGGATGCATATACAGTAGAACTATTCCTGCTTCAATGTTGACCAAGGACTCTACCCCACGGGATTTCAAAGTTCTGAGGTGACAGTTATAAAAGTAAATATTAAGTGGTCTCCATGGTAACGAAGAACAAACCCACAAATTTTAAATGTAAACAAGCGGAACTGTGTATGAAAGGGTATGGACCATAAACATAAAACATGATGTCACTCACTCGAGTGTAAACATTATTTAACATTACTTAAATGGAGATGTCAAACCATATGTTAATGTTATTAGTATAGGATTCATTCAGATACGTCATTTGTTTATGTTTATGATCTATATCAAGTCTGTTCTAATATTTGTGAAATGCTGTAATAAGATTTTAGAGGGAATAAATCATTGTAAAAGAAATTATTCATAGATATAGTAAATAATTGAGATCCTATAATCATTGCCGTATCAGGATTGCAGTATCTTATCATGAGTTTTATGAGAGTTATTTGTTAAATATATTTTTGTGTAAACAGTAATAGAATTTGCCTTCCGCAGCAAACCTGCTGACTAAACTAATTTCCGTTCGTCTGATGATAGTTTCACTCAAATATGTTAAGAAATTCACTATTGACAGGTTTTGAACTATTGTGATAGCTTTTCGTTTACAGTACAAACCATTCAACATGTTATTTGATTATACCTACGTTAAAATCTATCATTGATTTTGTATCCTAGGTAGCATAAATAGGTGTTCACAAGTTCAGTGTATGAGTTAACAAAACGTACTATTATCAAGTAAAAAAAAACAGTACAATTTTTTGTTTCAAATTTAAATGGTAGGGGTGAAACCAGTTTTAAGGCATTTTCAAAGAACCAACAATTATCTTCTGCATAATGACCCTGTTGCAAGGCACGGGTATAGATGCTAGTCCTTAATATAAAGGCCATTGGAGATTGGCATATTTAAAATATAAAATAAAATAAATTGTTCATGCATTCATACATGCTTTAACCTGATTCAAACATCTAAAAAGAAAGATATCTAATACCAAGGAAGCTATAAACAACTTTAATAAATCGAATGAGGTCTAGTGCCAGTGACCATTCTTGTATAGAAATGTTATCTCTTGGGAAATTATTATATTCTGTGCAATGAAGTACGTAGTGATTCGATATAACGCTGTATAGAATTCCTCTCTATGTTTGTAATGTGATATAAATTAACCTAAATCCATTATTAATTATTAGCAAAGTCAAAACATATATGTTATAATAAACATGCAATAGCTTATATTGTTTATGATTTTTGAGTAAAACTTGTAAGGAATATTCCTTTAAAATAGTCATTAATCTGTAACGGTTTATACTAAAAGCAATTTAATAACATTCTAATTCATAAGTGAATTCTTTCCAAACGTAAGGAGAAGTCTTCTCCTATTGTACTTAGACCGTAAGCCTAAACTAACTATAAACGTGATTATTGTTAAAATAATTACAACATAATGAACATAAAGACAGACCTCACAGTTCAAAAGACGAAACATAGTGATTTTGTAGAACTACCAAGATACCTCAACTACATCTAAATTGATTTTGAAAAATACAGATCTTCGTAATCTTGTAATATCAAAACATTTTAAGAAGCCAAATATTTGAAAAAACATGTGATTTTGTGACGAACTTTTGGCTACAGTTAAAATTCTCAAATTTACACGGAGCTCTTGTGTTTTCAGGTAGATAAAAAGAGTTAACTTGAAGCTGTTGTTACATTATGTATTAGATGAAGGTTTAGTGTGAAGATTTAGTAATATCAGAAACACTGTTAATATTCTCTGCGTTTAAACAGTGTCTCTTCCCTTTATCTTTTATAGATACATCGCACTCCACTACTTTATCAGCTGCTCTGGTTGGATTTTCAAAGTTAATATTGGTTTAGATAATACGCGTGATTTACTAATACAGAAACATAGAAGGAAGACATCCCAACTCAAAGGGCGACGAACCTCACAAAACCACGTTTTAATTCTTCTTTTAAAGTAAGTAAAAACTTTAATAGTGTGAACGTAAGTAAACACAACAAGTTTTATCTTTATTGTCATAGTGACCAATGAATATTTACGAACATACCCAATGTTCTAAATTAAAACGCTTTAGGTCCACGGATTGACAAAGGAAATTCCAAGAACAATACTAAGCCTGAGAAATATAGGAATGCATAATACATAACTACCATTACATAATTCATGGTTAACCAAAAGTCACATTTAAGACTAGTTTTATTTCTGAGGTTTTTTTCTTTATAAAATAGGACAGAAGTAGATAACACATCACCTCATCTTTATGAATAAATAAACAATATTATGAATATATAATAAAAGTTAACGACGAAGCAGTAGAAACATCAGAAAAAATATAATATTAGCACTTTTCCGCGTTAAACTCCCTTTGAAAGTAGCCAACCATTCTATTTTTACTTGCTTTGCCAACCAATGCCACCCAGTACCAGCGCACCATATACCACATTAGCATATATACATAATATGGTATTTTAACATATACAATATCAAAATACGGTATATGCCTTATTTTAAGTGACGTAAAATAAAGTAAAATACAAAGATTTTTAGATAAATGTTATCAAAGATGTTATCACGATGGATATTTCAAGAAGATCATTGTTAAAATACTCTTTATATAATTTGAAAATTCCATGGATATATGATTTTAATATAGACTGCAATGTTAGAGGTAATTTCAAAAGATTATTAGTCAGGACACTTGCAGTTTTCACACTCATCAATAATTAATCATATTGCATTACTAGTAAACAAAGCTGTTGTATGTTGTGGTGACCATTAATTAAGTCACCCTCCAAGCCACCCCAATCAAGTTCGGTTGGTTACAAGGGTCTGTTTAGCACAGCTTCACCCTTATCAGGTCCTCGAAATCTCAAGTGCTTAATTTACTATCAACACTAAGCTATATCTCGGTAGATCAGACACAATTTGCTTATACATATCCCAAAGGCATCCTTTATCATCAATCATGAAACAAATCTGTAATCCTTAAATTTTAAATGAAAATAACTGAAAATTCTTCGTTATTGAGGCAAACTTAGGACCTCGTAGTCCTTTCATCCTCTAAAGCACTTACCTTAAATTGCTCACAAAAGAAAAAAACAAATTTTTTAAAATAAAACAAATAACATAAAATGAATTTCTTTTCCCTAACATACAGTCATACGCACGCCATCCTGCCAAGCCATGACCATCCGGTAGGTAATATTCCTTGTGCCACCATCAGTCGGACTAGGTTTTCTATGGACTAAAGGGATAAGGTATGGAAACAGTCGTCCTGTTCCAAGATTGATGGCTGAATGAGTGATGAGTTATGGTGGTATTTGGATTTTTCCGATGCCATCTAATTTCAAAATTGATTCTTTTATGTAATATGGTGGGATGTGGTCGTCACGCTTAAGATTGAACACAAATATAATTTTTTTTTTCAATTTCGTTTCTAAAGTCACAATCATATCATTGACCATAGTGTTGCAGTAGTTGAAGTGTGGAAACATGAGTGATTTCACCAGTAAGACTTGAATGTGAAGTTGTAGGAGTCGTTGCATCTTTTTCAATGTGTAAAACGATTTTATATGATAGCATTTCTTTTCTTAATCTGTGAAATTATTGCAGACTTTAAGCAGCTGGTCTTCACCCGGACTTTTAGAACCTCTAAGATGAAGGACAGCTGGGTCTGGTGGAGAAGCATTTTAAAGCTTCTGAAACATTTCAGGGTCAAACCGCCGGTTACTGATTACGATAAAAAGTATTTTTTTTTTAGTGACGCCTAAGTTATTGGTTTACTTTTTATGTTGCAATATTTTACTATTTAGGTGTAGATACACGCTTATTGTGGTAATTAATGACTCTAAAATATTCGACTGGAATATTCTCATGCTCTGATAAGTCTAGGTTGATGCATTTATACCTATTCGAGACATTGTATTACAGTTTGATTTACAGTGTATCTTAGGAGAGGTTACCATAATTTAATGATGTATTCAGAGTAATAGGGTGTAATGGGTATTTAACCACATTAACTAAACCCTTGGATCAGATAACCCTCAATCAGGCCATTAAACCACAGTCTGAGGCAGTGGATACATCATTACTGCAAAACTATATACTACAGTTGTAAATGCCGGAGATTTTTAACTTCTTTAAGATGTAAACATGGCGGATTGTTTGTCATTAATCTACTACAAATTTAACTGAGGAACGGGAATTCATGTAAAGGTTTAGTAGTAAATGGTGTACATTAAAAGTAAAAAATAGTTGAAATATGAAAATTGAAATATCTATGCAAAAAGCACGACTATATCAACACTAAGCCATTTTTATGCTGAGAATGAATGTTTAAAAGCTATTATCGTTTCCCAGTATCTAAACGGCAAACTTCTTATATCAGGTGATCTCTATAACAACTCATCTGCAAAGCTATTAGCTATTAGGGAGATAATGCTAAAATAATGCATAATGTAATGTTCATTCAGTTTAAAAAAATATATACGGTGCAAAATATGTAAACTTAGTCTACTGTACATTAATGGGTATTCAATAGTCTACTCATTTGAGTTATAGCACTATTTCAATGTACATAATGAACATTATTTGTTGTACACACTAACAAAGTCAAATTTCAAACAAAAATCATCATGAAATCCCAACTATAGTATTTTCCAAACAAAATCTGATTCCATTGGCTATGTTTCAATGTTGGTAGTTAAGATGTTATGCAGTAAAAGTAAATTGTTGAATAATATTTTAATTAAGTGATTAGGGATCAGAAAAATAAAACTACATAAGCGTATATACAGTATTTCCTTTCAGGGAAAACCAACTCAAACTACCGCGCCAGTTGTCACTAACAGGAGATTGGTTTGAACAGCGAATTGAAATTGGATTTAAAATGTAACCAATTGTCAGGTGTGTTGGCGTGCAATATAGTGGTTGAATTGGGTTTCCAGCTTCACTGAAACTATTCAAACATGGACAAAATAAAACTACCAGTTTGGGACCGAAAATAGCCCATTTCTTTCTAATTTATATGAAATACTACTGTAATCAACAACTATATTTAGAGTAGGCTACGCTTTGTTAGAAATATTTGGGCTATTTTAAGATTATTGACGTCCTGAACAAAGATTGTTGAACAATAGTTTAAAATTTTAAAACATTAAATAATTTTGCTAAATGCATTTGAGTTGCATGGCGATTTAGTAATCTTGTATAATATTATACTTGATTTTGATGTCAAATAAATGTTTCTTAGTGTTCACCTTAATTTGAAATCTGCGTACTTGGTACCACAATAGTTAACATTACACTATTAGCCAACTTACACTGATAAATATGCGATTCAAATTCAATACACTTTTTACCCTATTGAAATAAAAACTGTAAAGTGATCGTAATAGTTAATTTGTAAAACTTATTTGTTATAGTATTTAAAGGTATCTTATCAACACAACGAACCATAAGAAACTTTCAAGATTGATGACTATATTTTCAGGTAAATAGTAGATGATTAAATAACTTAGTTTTTATTTAAGTTAAATTATCACTATAATTTACATCTGTTTCACTACAACCCCATAGCGTGTAGGATTGTTCTCCAGGTAGAATAACATAGTAGGCAACACATGGTCGAAGTGCTTGGCTCAACACCTGAGCGGGGACGTGTCTCGCATGTAAACAGCTTGGCTACTCCCAAAAGTAGTATTTTCGGTCAGTTCTAAGGCTAAAATACACAAAACTGACGTTTTACAGTCATTTTGAAGATAAGCCATGATTAACAAAATTTGTTTTGGTTGCTCTTTAGATAACCTTAGGTTTAACAAGTAGGCTGGCTTCTACAGGGTAGGTAATAAGGTGAGTTACTGTACAAATATGAGATAAATACCGGCTTAAGATTAAACAAATACATTTTCCAATTTTGGTAAAAATATTTCAATTTACAAGCCTATTACGACGGTTTACTTATCCTCCATAAGAACTGCATTCTAATTTTTTTTTCTACGTAATCATTAACCATCTAACAAACCTTTAGTATATTAAACTAATTTTAAGCTGTACAACATGTTTCAAAAAGACACTACCAAGTTATATGTTTTAGGGTCAAAAATTTTAAAAGCCAGTTATTAGACCATTAACCCATAACACCTCAATCGTTTAGACAAACTCATTGGAATAAACGTGCAATGAACGGGAGGTTTTTGGTCTCTGGGGACCTCAAAACGAAAAAGTAAATGGGTCCCTCTAGGTTTTACTATAACACCTACGGAATCAGCTTATTCTGTATAACTATGGGGGAATTTCGCTAAAACAACCATTTTAGAATAAATACTTTCCTTTTGTTATTTGAGAGCAAAACAACAGGGGGGACCTATACAACTAGTTTATATTTTCAACACTAAAAACATTTAGTTTACACATCATAGCACTCTATTTTCTTTTACAATCGTAAATTGTGTTTTGGAATAATTTTATATTTATGTCTATCGTCTAAGTTTGAGAAGTACTTTAGTTAATATTATAATTTTTACTTAAATAAAACGTGTATAGTTTAAATAAGAAACGTAACTAGGGTGTAAGTATATATTTTTATAAAATCATCACATTCAAAGTGTACACATTTGGTGGGGTTTAAAACAGGTTTTAAAAAATTATCATTTGAGAACATTTTTAATGTT